TCGATGTACTTCTTTTGGCGCAGGTCGTAGGTACTGTCAAGTAGTCCCCTGTATTATGGCCGAGATGCTTGGCCATGGCCTGCCTCAAGGTGGTGCGGTAGCGTGGTGCTAGGCCTTCGACCCCCCAGAGCGCAGCTGGTTGGACGCCGCCTCGATGTAGTCGTAGCCTGATCTTCAAGGCTGGGATTCTCAAAGTTCGAAGCTTCAGCTTTCGTTTGTGGGCCTTTGCCAGTCTTTGCTTCATGACTGGAATCCTCCTCCGCCGTGCACCTTGATGATCCACCCCCAGATCACGCATGACAGCTTCAACTGGTGGCTCTCCAGGTTGCAGGATGGCTCGTAGGGCTTTGTCAGTACTGCGGTCAGTTGCAATAAAGGCAGTTTTTTGTGGGTTCACTTTGAGGCCCAATTCAACCAGTCTGTGGTGCAGGTCTCTGTAGGCATTGACTGCCTTTGCGCTACTGCCATTGGTGTTTGTCCGGCTGTGTCGAAGCCCACATCATCGACCCAGCTAGAGAGGTGCACATCTGGGTGCTTGGTTTTCCAGGGCTGGAGCGCTGGTGCCAGCACGGCCTTGGCCAGTAAGGGTGCTTGGGGGCAGCCAGCTGGGACTCCATTTTGGACGGTGAAAAATGGGGTCATCTCCTGCTCCGCCACGATGGCTTTGGGGCCGGTGTAAAGCTGCATGGCTGCAGGGCTTCTTGTTGGAGTCGGGTGAGGTTGATGGTGTCATAGAAGGTCGACATGTCCATCAGGCAAGTGACCCCGTGGCATCCATTGGCTCTGTGAACCTCTCGGCGCAAGAGTCTCTCCAGAGCCACCTGTAAGACTTGGGCGCCTGGGCGTGCTCTGTCATGCTCCATTGTGACCGGTAGCTGTTTCTGCCAGTGGTCGAGCAAGGTCCACATGCTTTGTCCGGAAGGTGCTTGAGAACCCATGCCAGTTGACCGATGGTCAAAGGCTCAAGCTGTTGTGCTTGTTGCTTGGCTTGTTCCTGTAGGCTGGGTCGTTCATGTGGTTGATCAGTTTGTCTTATCTGCCATAGTTGTCCCCAATCGCGCAGCCTTTGTGTCATCCTCTCATCAGGCGGTAGCTGCCGATAGGGTCTTTCCCATGCAAGTTCGCTGCTTTTGAGGCTGCGGAACAAACCTCTTAGGCCTTTGGCCTCTCCTTGTTTTAGCCATTCTTTGTGTTGTAAATGGCTTTCATCATTGGCTGCTTGTTGTGCTTCTTTGAGCTGGTGAGCAATGGTGTGTAGCACCAGTTCTGCTGCATGTGGATCTCTGTATTGGCGCCAATGGTGGCTAGTGTCGAAGAGCTGTCCCCATGTGGGAGGACCAATCCGGCGCTTGGGAGCATCTTGGAGAGCTTGCATGTATCCGCGGACTGGGCCTGCTTGCATGGTTGAGGGTTGCTTCACTGCAAGCTGGAATCTGACTTGAAGTTGTTCCCAAAAGGCTGGCTTTCCTTTTTTCCACGCGGTGGTGATCTTGGTGGACACCAGTGGTTTGATGATCACCCTCAGGCTGGCACCCCGGCCCTGAGCCGCCCAGGGATGCTCTTGGAGCAGGTACTGCTCAGTGCATGAGATCCAGTCTGCCCATTTCTGCGCTTGGCCATTGGGTGGAACGCCGTACGGCTCAATCTCGAAGGCCTGAGATTGGTACGAGGTCCATGGCCGGAAGTCGATGTCTGGTGTTGCTGGCAGGGGTGGAAAGTATTGCGCCTGTCTGTATTCCTTGGTGGCTGCTTCAATGTTGAGTTGTAGTGTCAAAAGTGCATGCGGCCTCCAAGGAACTGCCCAGTCAGTGGTGAGAGCCGTGGTGGAGGCCAACGTGTTGCGCAGCAATGCATAGTCAATCACATTGCCTGAGAGGATGCTGTGGTCTGGGGCTTTGATGTCAAAGTGGAACTTGGACGGGAGCACGGTGCTAGTGAAGCTGCCAGGGTTGTTCTGCCAGTCCCCTAGGAGGGTGTAGGGTGCTTGGTGGCCTCAACCAGCGCCAGGAGCTTGGCTATTATCGTGGCATTGGTGTCCGATTGGATGCCTTCCCTGGTTTTCAAGTAAACTCCCGCAATGAGGATGGTGCAGTTGGTGGCCTGCCACAGAAAGGCTTGGTACCCGCAGCCGTGACAGGTGTAGGACTCGAGTGGTGTGAGTCCACTGGCTTGGTCACCCAGGATAAGGATGCCACCATGTGTGCCTGTTCCTTCCTCGTTGGCTTGAGCTGGAGCTCCAAAAGCTGTCCTGCCTCTAATGCTGAAGTACTGGCAGGTTTGCTGGTGCCTTTGTGGATCAAGGTGAGTCTCAACAAAGATGTGCACCTCACTTTGTCGTGCTCAGTACCAGTCCAGTACTTGTTTGCCGAATGTCGTGATGTTGGCAAAGTGTATCTGGTTGTGTGCTTGTTCCAGTCGTGGTCTCTTGTCTGGGCTTGGGTGAAGAGGTGGTTCAGTCAGGCTCCTCAGGTGGTGGGAGTGACCGAATGACCTGCTGGGTCGATCGAAAGGTGTCGATGTGTAGAGCTGAGACTTGAGTGACCTGGCTGGCCAGTTGTGGCGTCAGGTGCTCCAGGTGGACGGGCGGTTTGCCGTCATCTGCAAGCCACATCAGGTCTCTGTAGATGAGGATGGCGAAATAGTGGCCAGTATTGTGGCTGGGTCCTCGGTGGCAGATGAGGGCTGCCGGCGCAAATTCCGAGGATGTCCTTGCAAAGCCATCCAACGATCTTGGCACCGTGAACGCGCCGTAGGGGTTGAGGATCTTTGCATGCTTGGTCATCGTCCCTTCCACACAGGTGTTACGGGTGATGTGAGTGATCAGCACCGGCTTGTCGTCCAGCAAGTATTGCCCAAGCCCTGTGTTGAACCATCCGTTGTAGAGGTCTTGAAGCCTGGTGTTTTCAGGCCAGTCATCTGGGAAGTTCACAAGGATGGGCTGCTGGATGTGATCTTTCAAGTAGCCACCTTCTTGGATTTCAGCAAACCTGTAGTGAAAGGCTCTCGTTTGGGAGAGGTTCCAGAGTGGTTGACGAAGTGATTTGCATCTCCTTGGATGTTTAGATCATGCTTCTTCCGCAGTGGGTAGGCCCGGTAGCTCATGGATGTCTACCGCTTCAGCCAGTTTAAGGGATTCCTGAACAGCTGCTTGGAGGTTGCCCCAAGGTTGCGTATTCGTTTCCTGGAGCAAGGCGCATGTCCAGGTGAAAGCTCGCCAGGGCGCGTTGGCGTAGCAGCGAGCGCTTGGATTTCCAACCGTCATGGTCAGGTTCTGCAAGATGCATTCCGTAGTCGAAGCAAAAGTGCTCTGCATGGGCGCTTTGCCTCTTTGGGAGGTCTTGGGAGATCGATGTCCAAAGGATGGTCCATCGCTGGCTGAGGTGTGAGGTAGTTGCGCAAAAGTATTCTCCTGCGATGGAGCCATGTCCTCATGAACAAGCGTGAACGTCCCTGCACTCTTGTTTGAGGGTTCCCCTGAGTTCAAAGTGTTTTGTAAAAGGTGTTGCAAATGGTGCTGTGAACTGTCCCCTGCACAGTGTTCCATTTGCTGTGTCCCCGCCGGTGCTGAGTTTGAGGCAGCGCGGCAAACCGAATCTGGAGTTGGTGCCTTTTCAAAATCGTCAGAGGGAACCGGCGCCTGGAGCCCTTGAAACCCTTGAGGCAACATGGTCATGTTACCCGCACGACCCTGGTGGTGTTGCAGTTGCAGGGCTGTCTGTTTTCCTGCGCTTGGAGAGGTCACCATCCGTGTCATTGGGTCGCTTGAGCAACCCATGAAGCTGGGTCTTCTGTTCATCAGATAGTGAGACTCCAAGGTTGGCTACAAAGGTTTCCACAGCTGCTGCAGGTCCATGCTGGATTCCAGGTCAGCTGGCTTAGTTTCCTTGTTCACCGCCTTCATGTAGTCTTCCGAAAGCAGCTTGAGCGTCTGTTGACCATCGTTGAGTTTCTGTTGAAGCTCTTGCATCTCTGTGAGGAGGGTCTGGTACTGTGCTTTGGTTTGATCCAGCTTCTCCTGGAGATGGGTTTTCTTCGTGGACAGGTTTTTCAAGTCTGTCACCTGTCCCTTCAGCTTGATGGCAATGTCCTGCTCAGAAGCCGGTGCTGGTGTGGTGAGGCGTGTGACTGCCTCTTGGACTTGAGCTGGAAGTGATGCCATGTGTGTTTTGAGCATTTCATGGGGGTCCGGTTCTGGAGGTTTTTTGGGTCCAATGCCAAGGTGCTGAAGCTTGTCCTGGAGTTCGTTGGACATTCATTGCACTGCATGCTGGTTCCAGTAGGTCTGTGGCCTTTTTTTGAAGCTTGTTCTTCTTCAGCGGTTTCAGCTTGCCCAGTCCCGGCGGCGTGTCGATCCAGGTTGTCAGTCTGGATGTCTCTGGCTTCGATGGTCTCCCTTGTCCTTTTCCTTTGCCTGTGCCTCCCTGGTTGGCTTTGATGACATGCAGGCCACCAGGTGCCACACATGCGGCATCTCGTATATGGTCTGAGCTCGTCCTGCCAGATCCAGTTAGTGCACTGTGTGTGGCGGCAGGTGACATAGCTCCGGCGCCGTGAGGTAGTTCTGGAGGTCGTCATCGATCAGGATGAGAGACACCTCAGGTGTTGCCAAGAAGCAGATGATGTGGGCGCGGAACAGGGCACAGTTCACGATCAGGCCAAAGAGGTCGGCAGTTTAGAAGTGCCAGTCAGATTCACAGTGTCCCGGAGGTTGAGGCGCCGTGCACAAAGTTGAGGGGAAAACAGATCACCTCTATTGGGACAGTCTCAATCGCGGGCAAAGACCAGCGCAATCGAGGAGTGCCGTGAGGATGTGGTTCCCTTCAGGTAGCCGGGTGATATGATCGTAGCGAGTTGAGAGTTCCGCACCAGGGCGGTTTCAGGGGACGCCCTTGAGCACTCGTGTCTTGAGCCATGTATGTATGTATGTCTGTCTGTCTGTCTGTATGTATGTATGTATACGCATATGTATCTTCACTGAGCATCTTTCTCGCCCTTCCAGCCTGGATCTTTTGAATTTCATGGGAGGTCCGGAAGCCGTCAAAAGCATGCACAAATGGAATCCGGCTCCGGAGGGTGGCAATATGTGAAGCCAAAGCAAAGTCGAGGGCCTGCATTGTCTCTGCTAAAACCACGACGTCATTATGACCGATATTCCATGATCCACTTACTAAGTCGAGGGTCATGCGTGGGATGCCATTGATTTGTCTCAAACTTGGCACGTCCCTGTCCTGCTGCACGCTGCTTCCAAAAAGGATTGCAAAACCTGTGGACCTCGGCAGTGTGCTCTACTGGGTATCATGCATCGGCAGTACCGCAAACATCTTTACACCGCACACATTTGCGGTGCGAATGCCAGGTAAAATTAAGTGGAATCGGATCAAATACGTCTGCGTTCCTGACCTAATTGGCCATACCAGCTTTTCTTCTCAGTCTCATTGACTCGTGTTGAGTTGGAGTGTCAGTCTGCACACACTACATGAATTATACAACCGAATGCGCATCAATTTTTGTGCCTTTGTCATTGTCTGTGCATGTGTGCGTTGACTTGTTTCAATCTATTTCCCTTGCTTCTCGGAGTTTGAAGCAAACAAGAAGTGACGAGAAACGCAAACTGCCAAAAACATGTGTGTGTGTAACCCTTGGAATCATAGGGATCCTTTTGGATTTTTCAGGTTTGCCTTTCTGTTTTGTTTCACAGCAGGGGGTGCCAGGGACCATGCAAGTCTGGCACCGCCGCTATGCAGCTCTCTCCTACCGGCCTCGCCGCCTTCACCTTGCCACACGCAGGCCTTCAACCTTTCCTTTCCCTTCCTTACGCCGGGGTCTACACCCTACCGGATAACAGCGTGCAGGGGTGCCTGGGCCTTTCAGTGTGCAGCTGGCAACCGCACCAACCATCCTTCCTCCAGTTTACAAGAAACGGTCACTTCTTTTCCGTTTCTTGCTCTTCCTCTTCCTGCGCCTCCACACACCTTTCCTGTCCCTTCCCTACGCCGGGGTTTACACCCTACTGGATAACCGCGTGCAGGGGTGCCTGGGCCTTTTACTGTGCAGCTGGCAACCGCACCAACCATCCTCACTGAAATCTCACCCCACCTTTGGCGCGGAGCTTAAAATCTTGCCTCCCTTCGGGGAGGCGTGTGTGTGTGTGTAGCCCTTGGAATCATAGGGATCCTTTTGGGTTTTTCAGGTTTGCCTTTCTGTTTTGTTTCACAGCAGGGGGCGCCAGGGACCATGCAAGTCTGGCACTAACAAAGACGCTTGCATTGGTCTGTGAAATCGATTTGGGACGCCAAATCGACGTACCTGCCATTTTCCACTTTTCGAATGGCGAGAGGCTAAGCCAAGAACCTCACGACACGGTATTGCTTAGGGCTTTGGTTCACTTTCTGCAGATGTGCACGAGCCGCCGTCATCTTGTTCGACCCGCGATCGTCGTTCGTTTCCTTTCCTTTTGGGCCACCTCTCCGTTTGAAGACCCCCAGGATTCGCTGGTTCCCTACTGGTACTCTTAGGAAATGGAACCCTAGGCCGGCGTGTGGCATTGCTTTCAGTTCAGTACACCCTATCCTAAGTGTGTGCCTTTTTATGCTACATACGCACATAAGTTGCCGCGATGCTCTACAAACAGCTTTGAACCAACCACCTCTCTGACAAATGCCAAATAAAGTCTCCTCACCAAAGCAGTGCTGACGAAGGCGCCGAACTGCCTGGATATCATTTTGGTCCCCAAAAATGCTCAGAGCTTGTCCAGCTACAGCGCGTGCTGCCACATGCATCACGCAGGGAATGAGCTCTCCTGCAATCTTGTACCTTGGAAGAATGAGCATTCTCAGGCACAGAAAACAGTGATTCGCTGGTGACTGTTGGATTTTGGAAGTTTGCCTGACTTCGCATTCAAGCTACACTTATGAAACCAGCGAACACTTTAGCTAGAGAGCAAAAAGACCAAAGGAAGCTTGGATTCCAATGCGCACATTGTGGTTTGGCAAAGAACAGCATCTGGGGGGAGCCTTGAGTACCCCCGCTAAATCCAAAGGACAAGCACAGCTGCAAGATGAAACGAGGCAGCTAAGCTATACAAATTCGCTTGTTGTCGCCAAGCGCAAGATGTGAGCTGAACGGACAACCCCGAAGTACCTTCTCCAGTGAAACCACACAGAATCCTTTGCCTGTGTTGTACAATTTCAAGCAGAAAGCAGGGAAAAGGATGCAAGTACGCAGCATGCATGGTTCTGTTGAGCGTGTCACGAGAATCGAGCTGGCAGGCAGCACTGCAACCCCCAGTTCCCATCAACACCCACAAGGGTGCCATAGGTGTGTTTGACGCTGTCGGTTCTAGTGCTGGGAGCACCCTCAAATCAGCAGAGGCATCAAGATCAGAAACTAGACGACAGGGTGGGCCGAAAGCACAGTGGGAGATGACACAAGGTAACGATGATGTTGATGGCAAAAATGATGACGATTGTGATATATATTATATATAGATATTATATATATATATAATGATGATGAGCACAATGGGGCTTATGCTAAGTAGATGTGATAGTCTCAACATATCCCTGTGGGGCATTCGCGTCAACACTCTTGCAAGGACAGTCTTGTTCTTCGCAGCCTCAAATCGTTACAATCAAGAACACAGTTTCAAGCATGCCACTAATTCTCTAGCAGCCTTGAAGAAGCTATGCAAGCAAATCGTGACTGATCCTATGGAGTTAAGGTTTTGGGTGCAATCGTGATATTCATCAGTGAACAAAGAAACGAGAAACAGAACCCCGCCAGAGGTTCACTCATCTTTTTTGGGGTCCTCCAAGATCAAGAGAACGCCCTGTCTACAACTGGGGCTTGATCAAGGACATCGCAAGCTATGTCATTGACATTCACATACGAACTGACGCCAACTGCACTACACCTGTCCCTCAGCAACAATAGACCATACACAATACCCAGATTGAAGGAAGGATGTTCAGGCGCTAGGCTGATTGTCATACGAAAATGTCTGCTGGTCCTCAAGCATGAACAGATGCAACGCATTTGTTTCTTGAAGAAAGTTGATGCACATCAACTTTTTGGAGCTCCTGTTAGTAAGGCTTACACGTGTGGATGGCTTCCAACTGTATGCACACGTGTTGATTTTCCACCCGCTGTGTCATGTCTTGCTGAGGCTGTGCAAGGAGGCTGAGACGCGAGTGAACCCAATGCATGCGCATGTTTGATTGAAATAATTTCATTGTTGTTTGACTTTGTGGCTGCGGCTTAAATAGCTTAGCAGGGACAGCGCTAAGAGTTAGAGACTTTGTGCCTCGCTTTGCTCTGTCATCTATGTACATATATATATATATCATATCTATATCTATATATACCATCGACATCGAGTACTTCTACAAGTATAACTTGTTGGCTGGCCACTCCTGGTCAATGTGCTCCCTGCCCAACCATAATTACTCACACCGGCTACCAGGCTGAGGAAGCCTAGGTCATGCGTGGAAGTGGAGAGGTAGACCATCGCGCTAACGCCAAATATCAAGGCCACCATGTGACAACCAAACACGTATCAGAATCATATCTAAACATACTCGTTCCTGACCGTCTTCTGCGGAATCGCCTTGTTTCCAAGCTGGCCAAACATGTCAGTCACCACCTGTCAGCCCAGCCAATGCTACAAACATGCGATGTCTCGCAGTACTGCCATGTGTGTATGTGTGCATGGTATGTGGTTTGCGCGGTTCAAAAGGCTGTTAGAAGAGACATTAGCAGTTTTCTGAAAGAGGTTGATTTTGTATACCTTTTGTGAAGGCTATGCAGGCAAGGAGACGGTGTGGTATATCCTTCAGCCTCGCATGCTGCGTGCTCAAGTTTGCCCAAGCTAACAATCCTCCCGGCCTTTGACACATGGAAGTTGAGCTGCATGTTCTAAGCCAGGTAGCGTAGTTGAGACTAAATACATACACTAGCAGCCAGCTCCAGATCAGTAGTTGCGGGTTGGAGACGGCGATCCACAAAAGACACAACAAAATGCTGCTAGAAAGCACTCTCCTACAGCTCTTGATGGCACAGACGCATGTGGCACGCGAACTGGCCAGAACAGGGTACGCTTTCAGCCGGCGGTTTGAGCTTTGCTTGGCGCTCGCTTGCCCACCTTTGCGGTGGCAATTTTTCCACTGTTGAAAGACAGGCATTTGCTGCTGGGAACTCTTTACATAAAATGCTGCCCCCCCACGCCCGGGCCCCTGTCTTACACAGGGAGGGGTTGGTTTGCGTCGGCCCCCTACCGACAACCACCCACCACCGCCACCACAACAACGACAACTACTACTACCCCCTACTGATACTGCTGCTACTGCTGCTGCTGCTCCTACTACTACTACTACTACCACTACTACTACTACTACTACTACCACTACGACTACGACTACAACTACAACTACGACTACGACTACGACTACTACTACTACTACTACTACTACTACTACTACTATAGTCACGGACAGCCAGTAGGCAGAAAAAATTCTGCTTACCACAGCTGCTCGAGGCTGTTTTTTTAGGGTTTTTGAGCGGACCTATATGTAAGCCTAGATTTGGTCAGCCAGGCTCAAGGGGTAGTAAGCAGAAAATGTGTGTCTATCAAACATGTTGGGTGCTATCTTGTGAAAGCCTTTATCGAGATATGTATATTATATATATACATACATACACATTCAAAGAAATGGGACAAGACTATGACGTCGGGATTAAATGATTTGAGGACACATCTTATTTTGTCTTTGATTCTAGCACCCGCCATGGGTGATCCCTCGGATCCTATACTACAAGCCCACCAGTGGGCACACTGCGCAGTTGCTCATGTAAACGGGACGCGATATATGGGGACCGGGATTGAATGAAAACAGCCGTTGGACTCACGTCTGATACTTTGCAGTGTAGTAGGCATGAATGCTTGCTGCTTACTACTGCACCACGTGCTGGACGAGACGACAAATGCATTGATAAATTACAATTCCTTCTCCTTTTCCTTTCTTCTCCTTTTATTTGCCAGTAGCAGGACAGGTAGTAGGTCAGGACCCAAAGGACTTAGGAAACTTAGTAAGGAACAAGGATTAAGGAACATTTGTCAAAGCAAAGCAATAGCAAACATGAAGCAAACAAATATATACATCTTGAGTGAGGAGCTCTAGTAAGCAGAGGATTTGAGGTGAGGGGGTTTTTAAATTTACCGCCCGGTGAAATTATCTGCTTAATTGTTGGCTAGGTTCCGTTCCTGCCTACTAGTTGTCCTTGACTATACTACTACTACTACTATTACTACTACGACGACTACGACTACGACTACGACTACGACTACGATTAGGACTATACGACTATACGACTACTGCTACTACTCCTACTTCTTCTACTACCACTACCACTACCACTACCACTCAGAAAGTCCGCCTTTGTCAGGCTAGTCTGTCAATGCATGCGCCCTGCCTTCTTCCAAATGGCCTCTCAGGATAGGGATCACTCGAAGTAGGGCAATTCTTTTCATTGCTCACTGGGAATTTTCTTGTGCGGTTCTATTCTTTTTTTGATCCCCATTCTGCAAGCAGTCACAACCAAGACACATGTTCGGAACCATCAGCAAGAGTCCTGGCTTCAGGCATCTGCTAAACATGAAGGCGCAAACACCTTCCACGCTTCTACCGGGCAGTCCTTGAGAAGCAGTGAACGTAGTGGCCAAGCCGCCGACAGAAAGTGCACCATGCATACTGCCTTCTCAGAGGAATGAAGAAGGGAGAAACATGACATTAAATTCGTATGACACTAGAAAGCGGACTCTTGAGAGAATTTCTGACTTCTGTGATGCACTTGGAAACTGAAAAACTCTTGGAAAGGACAACCAAAGAAAGTATTCAAAGCAGCAGATCGGTTCTAAACAATCTTGCGCAGCGCCTGCTGCTCCAGCCTCTGATTGCAGCTGAGTGATCTTCGTCACTTGTTCAAAAGCATTCTGAACTCCACCTGTGTCAACAGCAATCAAGCAAATACAAAGAGAGTCAGACGGATTGAAGCCATCCAACTTGCTCCACCAACCATGCGAAATCAGCTTCGACAAACAGCCACACTTTGTAGAACAATTGGATCTCTCAAAATGCATCGCATAGGAATCGGAATCAGTATGTACAAGGTTTGTATGAAGGCTGAATCTACCTAGACATTTGCCTTGATGTGTTCTTTTCATAAGCAGCCACAAAGCAGAAGGGAATGCGCTGCTACCAAGCAGTGCAAACAAAAAAGAAAAAACACAAAGTAGATACGCACTATTCCTGAAACGTTCCACAATTCCAGAGCAAAGAAGCGGGAAACCAACCTCCTACACAGAAGAAACCGACTGTAGGCAGGTCGGAACTTGGTATTGAAATTCCCTGACATCAACCTTCTTGCGGATAGCTGCAGCAGGGTTTGTGTTGAGCGTTGAAGGGGGGAAAGTTAGAAGGTAGGCCAGGTAGTGTGGATTCTGTTAGACTGCTAAATGTTAAAGGTCAAGAGATGAGAAGCTTCGTTTGCCAGAAAAGCTGAAAGCTTTGTTTGCTAAGGCAAGGATGTTTGCACACAACATTCAGGGTCAACGGGGGTTTGGCCCGAAAGTAAACCTTACCAACGACTCAACATGGTTTTCGGGTGGAGGGGCGGGGGGCGGGACAGTTTCGTTCGTGTTGCTACTGGCGTAAATCGACATTTGCGTTGCGCTTTCGGCTTCGCGACGTTTCGCTCGGGTTGTACTCGCGTAAATCGTTGATGACCTCGCAGTATTCGATTCAGCCAACATCCAGGCTTGGACTCAATGCTGCAGGCTGTGAAAAAACATTGAGAGGCGGCGCAAAACACTTGTCCGCCAGCTCAAACGTACAGTGACCTGTCATGGCTCGAAGGGGCAGAGGTCTGATGTTTGTTGCGAAAAAGAAGTGGCAAGATCCTGGGGCGCAGATGACTGGAGAGGTTGGAGGGTGGGAGAGACTGGAGAGCAGACCTGGTCTTATTTGATCTTGAACATCACCTCAAGTCATCATCTTGAGACGATAAGTTGAGTAAAAGCGGGCAACTCGCCACAGCCACCAAACAAGGAAAGGGCCTTGCGAAGGAGCAAGCCTCACAGCAACCCTGTCAGATTGGAGAAAGCCCGGCTTCGAAATTTGCACAACGGCGGTTTCAATGGCAGCACTTTGGTTTACGGTACCAACCGTTGGAGGAGGTCAAGCAATTCACTAAAAGCAGTTACTGTAAGAGGCGACTATATACAGTAGTACCTTTTGCGCCTTTTCTTACCGTTTATCAATCTTTTTTGCACTTTCTGGACTTGCCTTCTTTGATCTTTTTCTCCTTTTCTTTTTCTGATGAGTTGTTCCTGTGAAAACATAAGCATTTGGGCTAACATATTTTCAGGTAGGTCGACATCTCATTCTAGGGCTAGGGAGAAAGCGTTGCTGGATTGCTCACTTTGCACCTCCTGCCCAACTACTGACTGATGAAGGCAGAGGCTGGTTGTCGGACGATTTCACCAAGTTCACCGACGAGCGCTCCATCCAGCACACTGTTGCGTCTTGAAAGTTCCAAGGGCTTCGAAGAGGAACTGCAAAAGAGGGCAACCGCCCGAATGGCCATCATCCAGACCGATGTTGATCGTCTACTTCGTCGCTACTTTGGCAACAGCGTTCAGTTTCAACCAGGACAGCTATTATACGCTTCCTTTGGAGGGACGTCAAAGCCTCCGACCTCGTCAAGATTCGCTGGAAGGGACTGGCTCGTGTTCTGATGAGAGAAGATGACGGTGAAGGCCGACCCCAATAGTACTGGATCAGCCACAACTCCCAGCTGCTTCGATGCGCGCCTCACCACTTATGAACAGCCATCGGGCAAGACACCAGCACCCTCGTCGAGGGACTCCAGCACGCCAAGCAAGACATGGCTGCACTCCGAAGCCGTGGTGTGACACGTACGTTGGACTTTACCCCTGCCAACCGCCAGCGACTTGAACATGTGGAATCGGAGGAGGAAGGCGAAGACTTGGAACACGACGATGAGGAGGAGGACACGCAGCCGCCACTACAGCGTCGTCGACTGGATGCCCCAGCCGGCGCACTGCAGGCTGCACCTTCACAACCAGTAGGTGAGATTGTGGTTGAGGACGAGATGGAACACACGGCAGGTACGACAATCTGCACCTTTGGCAGAAACCCCGAACACCGAGCTGCTGCCAGCGCTACCAATTGGATGTCCTATCTCAGAGTGAACCCTCTGAGGAACGACCGGCTATAGCCGCCCTGTACCAACCAGCACAACCAGTGTGTCACTGTGTCATTTCAGCTTCTTCGCAGCAGGAAACTATCTCGTTTGGCAACCGCCGCGCGCGAGCCTTCATTCCCCACCTGGCTGGCACGTTGAGGACGTCTACATCACACATGACACCCAGGATCAAAACTACTAGGAACTCCACGCCGGTTGCTTGATCAGACACCACCTGATCCCTGGAAGGACCAAGTTTTTGTCCTCACCTTCTTGCCAAACATGAACTGCAACACCTACCACTTCCACTGGGCCGATTGGACTCAGCTCGCATCACCGTTCAGCGCACTGGCAACTTTGCCAGGGGGTCCGACTTCACCCAATTCGGGTGTGGCAAGCCTTCACAGCAGAGCTGGACTGGCATGACCATCTTTCAGGTTAATGGTGAAAGCAGGAAGGAGATGAGCATGACCTCACACGCCGTTCAACATGCTCGACAACTTGGTCGAAAGCAAAGAACCGTAGCCAACAAGAAGATCCAAAAGAACAAGGGCGAGATCAAAGAAAGAGAACTGTCCTTGCAGCACCGCCTTTTGTTTCAAGCCGCAAAACGGAAAGAGCTATCCTCCTTTTTCCAAAACGGTGTTTGGTCGTTCCAGACCACCAAAGAGGCTGCGTGGAGCAAGAACGCTGACGGTGCCCATGGCCAAAGCTCGACTTGTTGTTCGAGGCTAACGCGGATGCCCTCGCAGGTTCCTTCAAAACTTCATCACCGGCTGCCACGAGACTTGGCAAGACCCTGTTTTTGAGCCTCAGCAGTTGTTTGGGCTGGTGTCTCAACAGCCTCCTTGCAAGGGCTGCGACAGGAGAGAAAGCTTTGGGTAAAACTGCTACCATGTGTTTTGAAATGGAAATCCTTCAAGTTGCCTCGCGTTGCCCGCAGCTCCCTCGCCGCTGAAGCTCAGGCTGCAGGAGCTGCAGCTGACAGCGTTGAGTTCATGGTCCGGTTCTGGAATGAGTTGCCAATCTGGCCATGGACACTTCTTCGCTTCAGCTGGCGCTTATCACCGACGCAAAGGCCCTCTACGACGCCTATCAGCGTGATGCCTGGTCCAATGACAAACGGACCACCTTGGAGGTGAAAGTCACTCGACAGCACGTCGAGAGCTTTGGTGGCAAGTTGAAGTGATTTTGCGGCGATGTCTTGACCAATTTTGGCCGCCAGACAACTCCTGGCAGATCGCCTTCGTCACATGGCCATCAAATACACCTGGGATCGAGACTATGTGCCCGCCAAGAAGAAATCGGTGGAGAACAGATGGAGCAGTCAACACAAGTTCACAAACACGCAACAACCACATGACAAGCGCCAAACCTACACACAAGATCCACTACAATCAACAACGGCCGGAACACCGCCCATGGACATGGGACTCGACACTGAGGCCCGGCACGAGGGACTTGATGAGTTTGCCTTTGCCGCTTGCGAAGCGACCAAAGCAACAGCCCCTCAGCCCGGTATAGGACCTCGGCTCGCGCCCAAGCCATGGCCACGGATTCCTAGCGATGATGTCGCTGCTCTGGACGCCTGGCTGAGTCACTGACCCCGACTTCAACTGCTGAAGGCTGGTGGCTGCTTCAACTGCAGGGTGATGGTTCTAGCCGAGAGCTACGGGGAGCTCAAGATTTCCTGCAGGAAGAGCTTGACTTCACCAGGGCTCAACTTGAAGAACTAGGGGCACTTCAGGCCCGACAAGCTGTCCTGCCGCTGACGCCAGAAGAAGAAGACTGGCAGGCGACTGGCAATGGAATCCGAGACAAGAGAAGCCTTCATCGACGCAAAGGCCATCCTCAGCAGAGCCTTGGAAGAGATGACAGCCCATGCCAGGACGTGCCTCATCAGAGATGAAATTTTCATCGCGCCAAGGGCAGAGTTTGGCACCTCCGACCAGATTGCAGAGTTCTGGTCAAGCAAGCCTCTGACGAGAGGATCTACCAATGGTGCACCACTTGCCTGTCGATGGATCCACCCGAACACCAGAAGAACCTTGGCCGACGACATCGGCATGTTCCTGACCCACCACGGCAACGTGCCATATGATGCTCGGACTCGAAACGAGCTCTTTTTTGCTGCCATGGATGCATGGCTGGTACGGGCAGGGTGGGTACTTGACCGGCCGTGGCGAAAAGGTCGACTTCGTGTGCGACTTCCGTTCGTCGAGTCAGAACCTCGTGCGTCCGCACTTCGTGCTACCATAGCGTTTGCTACCATAGCATCTGATGGTCTTTTTGAGCTTGACCTTACAGATTCTATAGGGTTAATTCGGCACGGGATTATATATGTGTTCATTGCCTGCAAGTTCTTTGGGGGAAGTTTGTAATAAACCCTTTAGCCTGCCACTTTGATTGATGTGCTATTCAACTCCTGACCTGAAACCTCTGCGTCTCAGCAAACAAATATTGCCCGCCTTAATATGTGCTCGGCTCTTTACACTGATGCAAATTTGAGCAAAATAGTACAGTAATTGTAGACTCGTAGACTATAGATGGAAGTCCATGGGTACTCTGCTGCTTCAAGCTGCAAAATAGCTGCAAGCCCAATTCACTCTCCTCCCTGCCTGCCGACCAGGTATCACACATCCTTTAATGTCAAGCCGCAGCCGAATCAAAACAAATCTGAAGTACTAAGCCACCTTTCGATCTATATATTTCAACCAAGGATCTCAGACAGCAGCGTAGAAGGTGTGATTGGGAAAATAAACGCGTTGTCCGACATCCTGGCTCAGGGCACGGACACGGTCGCAGCTTTTGGCAAGCCAAGATGCTGTTTCTCTCATGCTACGCAGGACGTGTGGAGCAGGCAAATCAGGCTCTATCTCTGTGACTGTGACTTTCAAACGCCGACATCGGTTCAAGACTGGGTGTTCACATCGGTTCAACACCTTTCAACCCAAACAGCATGGCATGGTGAAGGAGTAGACTACGCCCTTGCCTACAAACTGTGAGTTAGAATTGCCGAGCTGCTGGTATGCCACCCAGGAAGTGGCTGTGGCACCGTCATCTGGGCCCCACTTGCCATCGCCACATTCTCGCCTGGCAGCCTGACGAGGTTGCTTGAACGACGAGTAGGAAAAAAGAACAGCTTCAGTCAGCTTCCGCAAGGCCCAGTTTCAAGTTTGAACCAGACTCCCAATTGTATCCGGTTTTGTGCCTCCAAGGCTGCTGCAATACCTGAATGCACCACAAACACCCAATGGAGTTTTGTGCCGCTAGTATAAAAACTGCAAATGTCTTGTACGCAAACACTTCAATCAAACAAAAATTCCGTTTGCACTGGAATGCAGCTGGGATCTTCACGTGGTTCCAGATCGAATTTTTTCGGCTTTTCAATGCGTGCTGACACCTGTCCGCTTGCTACTTCAAACAATGCTGAGAAACTGCCCTGTAAATATGTGGTGAAGTCAAGTCAAGAGAGCAGCTTGTGGAACAGCGCGATGCACCTTTTGCTGAATTGCCAGGGCCAAAGCTGCACCAGCCGCAGCACTGACTCCCACAACGGCGGCCTGCGCATCGACAAGGAGAAAAGCCAACGCATCAAGGTGAAACTCGGCAAAACTGGTTTTACTCAACTCGAAACCAACTAGTCCATTGGTCCATAAACAAGAAAAATGTCAAAAATGCAAAAGAATGCGGTTGGAATCCTTAAAAAACGGCCCCATTTATATAAAGATTGTTAATCTTTCCCCACTCCCCCTCTCGGCCCTGCCGGCCCTCTTGCCCTCTCGCTCTCTCCAGCTGTTGCCGTGCTTTGTTGACCCACACGTTTGAACACGCCTTTGCAATGGTGTCTTTGCTTGACATGGCCAGGAACAAAGACTCAACGGTCTCAAAACAGGTTGGAGACAACTTGTGACTGAGCAAAAGCTGCGCGGGTACCATCAATTTCTTGGGCAATCTCTTTGTCATGTCTGGAAGCATGAATGAGGCCTGACGAATCATAGTGCTTCAGAAATCTCCTTTATTGAACAATGTGAAGCAAGATTCTTTTAACTTCTCGGCCTGCTCCTTTCAAAAGATGTTTGCAAGCGAAGCTTCCAGGTAAAGAAACTTCTGCGTCACACAAAAACAAATTGACACTCCCGTTTGTGCGCGCTGATGCTGCAACTCAGGCTTTGGGAAATTTTGAGACCTCTTCTGCGACCGATTTGTGGCCCCTACATGGAAAACCACTGCCCATGCGTCTGAGAAGGTGCTCAGCTTCCTTTCTAGAATCAGTTTTGGTTTTGATAGCGACACTGTCACATGAGGCTGACTCATCGAGCTCGAACTGGGTTGAGGATGTGTGTCGAGCTGTAGAATGTGGTCCAAAAAGGCCCTGTGTTTGGGCCTTTAGTTGAACATTGAGTCTAGAGTCTAAGAAGTTGTTGTCAGAGCATGTCATTTCCTGCAGCAGCATCAGCACTGGAGAAATGACGCACAGCACCAAAACAGTGATTGACTGGATCCAATGATCGACCAGTGTCTTAAGGAGTATGGAGCTGTGCTGACAATCGAAGGAAAAGGTACTAGGCTTGAGCGAGCCCTTTAAATATCAGGACTTGCACTAGAGCTGTCATGGGATAGCTTCTGGTACCTGCATTGACTCACAGCAGCAGTACATTGAGAAACAAACCGCAAATACAAAAGTTTGCTAGCCTAAAAACTGTTCCAGAATGATTGATTCAGTAGGCGTGATGTTTGGAACAATTTGCCGAGTTGATTCGTTGCACATCATTGCGCTGCATTTTTCCTTAAGGGACAACCATCTTCCCTGCGTTCAAGGGATGACCGAGGAACGATTTGCCGGGGCCAGAGTGCATCCGAAGCCGCTGTTTCAAAGACGCCCGAAACCAGGGCTTTTTCTACCGCATTCTGAAAACACTTGCATTTTCGCATTTAGCATCATCCGTAGTATTCAGTGGCAGCGAGTGTTCTCATCCTGCAAACGATTTGAGCTCAGTCGAGTTCCCGCAAGCTTGCGCTGCCTTGGCATCAAAAAAAGCAACAATCATTGGAAGAGCGCAACCACGGAAAGCATCTCAGCTCAGGTCCTTGAAGTAATCAGAGTCGGCTTGCGGTCTTCACGATTGCGCGACCTGCTCTCTGCATCTTTGCCAAGAAGTGCTGCTCGCACATTTGGAAATGAAACTTGCATGACTTACATAACTGGTCCTTGTGCAAGCCAGGCTACATTGAGTACCTAAATGGTGCTACATTTGCTCATAGCCTGGAGATCTAATTTAGCCAGGGAGTGATCAAGCCAAATGGCCTGACAGAGGTCATACTCTGCATACGAGGAAGCTGGTTGCGTGGCTCCTCCCGCCCAGCGCTTTGCTTATTCCCGCTTAGATTTGTTCCAGCCACTGGCCCAGTCAGTTTGAGCACCCGTAGTGAGCTTGAGATGCTTATTTGGAGCTTCACCCACATTCCCTTGCTAGCACTACCTGGCTCAAGGATTTACTAAAAAAAGATAAACGCCATGTCAATGCAGCTTTACTTGGCATCGCAGTTGTCTGATGGGTGGTACCTGGGTCCTTCGTTCTATTGCACTGGACTCATGACTCTTTCATGCCATGCTTGACATTCAACCCTCATGACTCAGGATCACCTTCTTCCATCACATGAGCTTAGCCCCAAATAGCGGTGTGATGAGCAAGAATTTTACTCCCTTTGGATGTTTCACCGATCCAAAACTGAGTGCTGCACTTACGCTGTGACAAGGCCCTTCAGTCTGTTTGCACACCTGCGGCCGGTGAAGGACACAGACCAAGGTGTGGCCATTCTTCATTTGAGCATCTAATCAAGGCCTCTCTTTAAGCTTGGGATCGTCGCACTTCTCATAGTACTTCTTGCACTCCTGGAAGCCACACAGTTTGATTCAATCAATCGTCGAGTAACGATGCTGTTCCATTCCTCCACGTCGTCTTTTGATCCCAGAATAATCGGCACCCGCTGGTGCACAGAGACTGGTGGGATGTCCATGACACGGCTGTGCCTTGCCAGAAACTAACTATGGTCCTGTTTTCTCTGATGTATTCTTAGCAGCAAAGCAGCTCGAGACATGATGCATCTGCATGTCTAAGTTCCTGGCCCAGTTATCGCCAAGCCACCAGCCTGCAACCAGGTAGGTAGGCCGTTGCCAGGCAATTTACTTCACGCCTACACACTTCGACCTCGACTCTATGGTGTTGCCATTCCAGTTGCTGCTCAAGGTGTTCTGATTTCTAGAAACAAAAAGCAAAGCTTGTAATGAGACCTCGCCAAGGTGTTGAGCATGGTATGAGTTCACAGTGGACTGCAAAACAACAGAAAACCGCCAAGTCCAGCGGTCAAGCAGCAGAAGTTGATAAAGAGGGTCACAGAAAAGAAGCAGCCCCAGGCTAAACCAGGAAAGGGAGAGTGTGCAGGGGTTTCCAAACAATGAGCTCGAGGCTCCACCTTGCAGAAGATTGCTTGCTTGTCCAGAAACAAAATTCATCGTAAAACACGATGTCGCTGCGGACAGTCAATTCGATAGGAGATGTCATGGACATATACACATTGTGTCTGTCGTTGTACTCTGCCCAGAACTTGATGCATAGCATCTCAGACACGAAGCAGCTAAGGAGACAAAACCTTGTATTATGCAATCCAAGTGTGCCTAGGTCTGCGCGCTATCTACCCCGTCACAATGACATTTGAAGTGAGAAGCTGAAACGATCAATTTTTGAGAAAACCCGCTTGAAGACAACTGGGATTAGAAAGAAACGTCTGTGAATCTAGTTTCTCAAACTCAGATTTGATGAGGCCGGGTGAGTTGGATGTTGGGCGGGTCACTAGATACAGCCAACAACTGGTCCAACTGATGAGCACCTGGACCCACCGGTACTGATCCCCATCGCTTGTCGTCTCTCCATTTGTACGTACGGCGTTGAGCCAATACAAGGACAAAAATTATCAGTTAGAAGTGCTGGTGCGCACTCTCGTCATATCACTTCGGGGCATGGCAATGCTAGCTTGTGCTTCGGGGTCTCGGCTTTCTGCACATGCCAAGGCATCCAAATAGTATGTTTGTCAGAGTCGGCTTGGCACGCCCTCACAAGAAAAAGAATTACACCACCGTAGACCCCAAACAGTTTGTGTTTTTCGAATCGGAACACTCTGCAACTAGAGCCTGCGACGTCCAGAGCTGGGAGACAAAGGATTGCAAGGCAGAGGCGGCCACAGCAGTCCAGAGCTGGGAGACAAATGTAGACACAGGGAGACAAATGTGCAAGCGAGATGGAGACAAATGCAAAGGCTTGCGAGGACACATGTAAAGGATTGCAAGGCAGAGGCGGACACAGCAGTCAGAGCTGGGAGACACATGTAAAATTAAGGATTGCAAGGGAGAGGCGGACACAGCAGCCCAGAGCTGGGAGACAAATGTAAAGGATTGCAAGGCAGAGGCGGACACAGCAGTCCAGAGCTGTGAAGAAGAGGAGACAAATAAAAGGAAGTGGGAGACAAGCCAGCCGGGAACCCGACCAGAAGCACCCAGCCTGGGAGACAAATGAAAAGAACTCGGAGACAAGTGAAAAGAAGTGGGAAACAAATTAGCCCAGCTGGAGACCCCAATAGCAAGATACAAACCGGGACAAAAAGAAAAATCTGGAAACAGCTGCTGTTTTCAACACATCGACCATCTCTTCCTTGGACACCATCATCACATAACCGCGACACCATCACAAAATGACCAGGGCACCATCAAAACATGACCGAGACAGCGTCACAACATGATTGGGACACCATCACAACATAACCAGGACACCATCACAAGGTGACCGGGACACCAGCATGACATGACGGGCACACCATCACAACATGACCGGGACACTATCACAACATGACCGGGACACCGTCACATGACCCGAACACCATCAAAACATAACCGGCACACCGCCAAAACATGACCAGGACACCATCACAACATGACCGGGACACCATCAAAACATGACCGGGACACCGTCACAACATGAGCGAGACACCATCACAACATGACTGGGACACCGTCACAACACGACTGGGACACAATCACAACATGACCGGGACACCATCACAAGGTGACCGGGACACCAACATGACATGACGGGAAAACCATCACAAGATGACCAGGACACCATCACAACATGACCGGGACACCGTCACATGACCCGGACACCATCAAAACATAACCGGCACACCGCCAAAACATGACCAGGACACCATCACAACAGGACCGGGACACCATCAAAACATGACCGGGACACCGTCACAACACGACCGGGACACCATCAAAACATGACCGGGACACCATCACAACATGACCGGGACACCATCAAAACATGACCGGGACACCATCAAAACAGGACCGGGACACCATCACAACATGATTGGGTCACAATCAAAACATGATCGGGACACCGGGACACCAGCATCACATGAGCCGGACGCCATCAAAACATGACCGGGACACCATCCGCCCACCAGCTCTGACGGTGACCCGATGGCGCCCGTCCGCCTATTAGTTTTGCAAGACCCCATAGCATGGCTATTGGGGTATGAAAGGAAGTGAGAGACAAGCCAGCCGGGAAGCAACCCGACCACAAGCACCCCGCCTGGGAGACAAATGAAAAGAACTGGGAGACAAATGAAAATAAAAGAAATGGGAGACAAGCCAGCCGGGAACCCGACCACAAGCACCCAGCCTGGGAGACAAATGAGCCTGGGAGACAAATGAAAAGAAGTGGGAGACAAATGATTACACCACCGTAGACCCCAAACAGTTTGTGTTTTTCAAAATCGAAACTAGAGCTTGCGACGTCCAGAGCTGGGAGACAAATGTAAAGGATTGCAAGGCAGAGACGGACACAGCAGTACAGAGCGGGCG